CGGAAGAGTTTGATAATTGTTTGCTAATTCTGCAAATAAGAGCATGTATACATTTGTAGATAAATTTGAAAATGAACTTTTACGCGTGTGCACAACATTTTATGGAGGGGTTAATGAAAACCGACAAATCCGCAGTGGAGTAAAAACTATGTTCCAATGAAACTGCAACGGCCTAGTAACGGGCTCTGCTCCGTTATGAGATCAGTTTTCAAATGCATACTCACCCTAGTGGTCTAACAGTAGTCTAAACGCGTAATATGTTCATGTAGTTCTCTTCAACATCAGCAGTAATGCAACAACAATTGAAACTGATGCCGTACAACAACCTTAGGAATTAGGAATATCAAGTATACATTCAGAATCAAGCGTATGCGTCTTGTCAACAGTGTGCTATCACAAACAACTGACTATCGTGCAAAGTTAAAGCGGCATCAGCGAGACGGTTTCCTTGTGGTTTTCACTACATCGCGTCGCAGTCAACTACTGCTTTGCAAATGGCTCAGTATCAGACCCAAGTTAAACAAACCACTGTGACGTTGCAGAAAGTACTTGCTAACTGCATCAAGCGATTTCTGTACTGTAGTCAGAATTCAAGTGGACACTTTCAACATCTGCTTCCATGATATCTATGTCCATCTAACCCTGCTTCTGTAAATACATGTATCATCGATTGCACATGATGTGAAGACTAAATCGGTCTCCGGACGAATGGTGTCAATGATGGATCGGGGCGAACTTAATTCTATGAGCACTGCCTGCGTCTTCAGCAGGCTGCGCCACTCCGAAGACCGTGATAAGTTGGGGGTATCCGATGTGAAGATTAGAGCCTATATATTGGCACCGTTGGTGCAAATGTTCTCCAATCCACACCGGAGCCACCTGTAAGAGATAATTGTGGTCTCCGATACGTCTGTTATAGACAAATTAGTTATCGGTCATGGTGCTATTGCACACCGAGCTTCTTGCTTGTAGCAGAGGTCTCCGTTTGGGTACCGTGCAAGTTACCGTTCAATGTAAATGCGCCTAGTCTATGCAACCTCAGTGATCCATATTTTGCTCCGCCATATCTACCTTTGTGGGCTGCTACCCAGATGACCAAGAGACTTGGTCAGGCAGGTAGTTCAACATAACAGTTGGTAATTTGCTATAAAAGGGATGGACTTATCTTTTCAACACGGTAGTTCTTCTCTCTGCACACGTGATTTGGGTTGTTTAGAATCAGGTATGCCATTATCAGGTCGCCGCGTACTCGGTGATACCGTCAGCTAAACAGTCCCAAAAGTACCAGTATTTGCTCGGATGATAGATTGCTCATTCCGATGACACATTTAGATGCTTGACGTTGAGGCCGCTCAGGTGCGGTAACGTCGTGCTTTAATCATGGATGCCACGCCTGAATTGCGTATTCGAAATGGGGGCGAACATGCACACTGAGTATCTGTCGGAGCATGTAGCAGTAGTTACTCTGGTGTCGTATGGAAACTACCTTGCATTTGCTCAAGTCGAAACTACGCAACTTTCCGTTTGTCCACCGCTATGTCATGTCCAAGTCATGCTGCAGCATATTCAGATCGGCCTTGGACAGAATCCTGCGCCATATCTTGATGTCGTCAGCAAACATTAGAAAACTTGAAGCCATCGTCTGTGCCAGGTCGTTGACAAATGCCAAAAACAATTGTTGCCCTAGTACAGAGCCATGAAGCATACCGCATTCAACATGTATGGAGTCTGATATTAAGTTTCCAACTCTAACCACCAGCTGTCGTTGTAGGAGAAAATTGGCTGTGGTTGAGCACAGATGGCAGCTTTTGCAGGACAGCTTCCGCGGTAAACGTGATGTGGTTGAGTTCCTGCGTTGGGGTAACAAAAGCTCACCTGGTGGTAAGACCCTCTTAAATGTGGATTCATATTGCGTTCGTGGATGCTGTTTCAGTGTTTGGCAAAGCTATACTTCCGGGAACAATTGCGACAATGCCGGTGCTACTGTATGCATCTGAGACTTGACCAGTTCGTACGGAAGACATCAAACGGTTGGCTGACTTTGATCACCGGGTCTCACTCATCTAGTGGAAACACATGGTAAGAAATGCTGAGGTCCGCCAGTTGGTTTTTTGCAAGAAACTCTCCGGTGCCTCACTTCAGTGTCTGTTGAAGTTGAATCTCTAACGTTAGTTAGGTCATGTAATCCGTACACTAGTTAACCGCCTTCCTCGGCGAGCATTATACGCCGTCACTGCACCAAGTTGGGCGAAACCACGAGGTGTTTAATCAAAGACGTGGCATAGAGTTATGAAGAAATTAACCGAGAGACTTGGTCAAGCAGGTACGTGCCGTTTTCGTAGATGGGGGCTGTTACGGAGAGAAAGCTTACAGCCAGCGATCAAGCCGAGAGCAGTGGCGTAGAAGCGGATCGATCTACAACTTGAGATCGAACTCGAGTATAGATCAAAATGCGAATCGATGTGGAATCAGCGGCAACTTGGGTCATGAACTTGAGACGTTCGAGTTGTATTAATTAACATCAATTAGCATCTCTAATATGATTATGTTAGTAGTTGTCCACAACCTATTTATTGCGCCATGCTCTCATACAACACGTCTCTCTGTCTTCCTGGTTCTGGTCTTCTGTATTCCGTCGGTTGGCTGGGAGCGTGACTGAGATGTCAGACAGTCGCAGTCTCATAGGGCAGCTATCAGCAGTACGACAGTTGTCAGTGGCAGGGAGCAGAGGTAAAGCAGAAGCGTTACAACAGGGGCCTCGTGTTAATCCAAACCAGTGGTTAGAGACTCTATCGGACGTGGCGCATTGTCAGAGTAAGTGCTGCCCCTGAATTCGTTCTCTTGCGTTTAGTTATTCATACTTCAATGCGATTAGCTTCATGCACCTCGTTCTTCCTTCCATTCTGCTAATACCATATTTAATTTTAACCGCATTTACTTATCATTCTCCATTATTGCCACTATGGTGACGCGAGTCGTGGCAACTGCATCCACGGCACTTTGGTGCCCGGATCATGATTTATCAACTGCACTACACTTAACTGAAACAACCGAGTAAGCTTTAAGTATCGTAGGTTATTTAGCAAATAGAAATTCCAGACGCAACGGTTCACTTAACAGGAGAGCAAAATATTAAAAGCGGGAAAATACTCCTCTATTAATTCGTTATTATTCCTAATGTGAAAGGTCTAGTTGCAAGTGCTGCTTTTTTCCTACAGTGCTTCTTTGGAAGCTGGTTTTCAGTCTACCGGCGTGCCCACCGTAACTGTGTTTTAACATTACTTTTGATACAAATACGGGCACATCGAAAACTTATTGTTCATGTGTACGTCAGTCTGTCTACTTTAATGGGAACATAGGTGAAATGAAATAGCAGCGGTTTTGCACCACGTGTACGTTCGTCCGTCAACGCGATGTCCATTATCTTTTTTACCACAGTAGACCCTGTACGTAACGGTAACTTCCGTGCTACGGCTAAACATCGGTCAGTTGTCCGCAAAACATTATGTCCTCAAACACTGACCAGAATGTATCGATCGTTCAAGTATCCCTAGTCTGCGCCTCATCGCGTGAAGCGCCATGCAAGTTGGGGTAGGCAGACGCCGCGCTTTTGTGCGTAGTGCATCGTGTGAGATCCGATTGGGTCTCCGGACTGTCGTTAGAATTCCTCGGGGTTCTCTCAGGGCACGCAATGTGCGGCAATTTACTTAAAAATCGGTAGATACATCCCGGTCACACGATACTTATACGTAAATAGTACAGGTGAATGACGTATCATTGGAAAGGATAAGTGTTATGGAAATGGCATAGCCCCATCAAATTTGCGCAGATTTCGCCGAGCTCACCTGACGTATATTCATTATGCGACGACTCAAGCTGTGCTGGTAACAACCGAGCCATCCTCGGGACATTGATGTCAAGCGACAAAGAAACAACTGAGTTCTACTCAGGACACGCATCTGTTGTGTACGCTGCAGTTAACCCACTGAACTCTTTTCATGACTACTGTCTCTATAATGTCATGCCGCAGAGGACCACCTGAGCTTCGCAGTTGCTGCGCAGTTACCGAACAAACTCATGATACCATCACCGGGCGACAACTAATGTGCCTTGCCAACATCCACCTTTCCCTATAGTTTATGCTATTTTATTACGCTAGAAAAGTGAAGGTGTAGAAGGCATGCTTCAATTTTGCCGAGTCAGTAAAAGAACTTTTGCCAACGGCCAGTCTTCCTCCTTCGGGTCACAATGCATTCGTGCTAGGTTGCGCGTATTCTTCTCCAGTCTTAGCTCGCGCGTACGTTTGGCGGCTAGGTGTCGTTAGCCCGCAACGTTACGAATTCGATTGGCTACTCTACACACGTGGGATCCTAACTGTGAAGTACCTTCGTCCGTTCCGACTAACAGTCGAAACAACTAGGACGCGTTATAACAATAAGCAAGTACAGTCACACGCCCCAAGTTGTCCGTTATGAGAATTTTCTGCAAGTTTGTTAATACACAACATGGAGATGACTGCGTTTGTCATCGACATGACGTTTTACTTTCATTGGAAAAGGCAATCAAATGTGTGTGTACCTATGCCATCCTATCACGCTGAATCCGTTAACATGGTTTACTATTGTGGTGAAATTGCTTCGTGTATCTAAGATACTATTGGCACACAAGCAAAATCGACCTTTGGATCGTTTACTACTATTCACTGGTGAGAAATTCCACACTCAGAAATACTCCATGAGGAGTTTCTCGATTGGTCCGGTTCGGCTCCTGGGAATTGCTATCGTAAATTTACCGTGGAGGGTAGAATGGCGCACGTCACACCAAGGCTAGATTTGGGTAGCTGTAACATGAATGCCACGAGAAGTAAAATGAAAAGGTATTTTCAAATTGGTTTGCCACATTGACTCCAATATGTATCGAGTTGACTTTGTCTTGCTGTTTAACTGACTACATTATTTTATGAAACCTACTCGATTTTCAACTGTCTTTTAACTTTTTAGGGGGCTCAAGTGTTTGTTTATGATGATGTACACAACGTATAGTAATTACTACAGAAAACAACCGTTCGCAGACTTGTTCGCACACAATGTCCGCCGCCAGGGCAGACACCACGTAGCGATACGTTTTGAGGACACCGTATGGACTCTTGGCGACTTGGATGACTACTCCAATAGGGTGGCCAATCATCTGCTCCGCTGTGGTTTCAAGAGTGGGGACAAGCTGTTTCTCTTGCTTTCGTCATCCCCACAATTTATAGGAATATGGCTTGGAGCAGCAAAAGTGAGTTCCTGCCCTTTCAATTGTAATGATGTATCACATCATAGCTATCAAGCTCATCTGATGTATGCTTTAAAACTCCAGCCGATTGATTATCCCTCACTATTAGTTTAGCTATCGAAAGGCATAGAAATCAAAGGAAGCTTCACCTATCCTTAATATTCAGTCTGGTATGATCAGATAATTAACGCCATTTACAGCATCAACCTAGCAACTTTGTCAATGTTGCTATTTCGTGTGCCTTCCGCAGTTTGGAGTGTTGTGAAAGCCTCCAAACAACCCTGCGTTACATTAGTAAAACGGAAGTTGCTTATACTCTACTGGCCTCGGAACAGACACCGTTTTCGCTCCATTAGTCTTTGCTCAAATTTTGTTTCTGTGGTCCTGTTTTACTGTCCCCATGTCTGTTTCATTATGTCATTTATACTTGTGTCAAAAGGAGAATCCGTGAGCATTGCCCAGCTTGGCTGTGTGGTGATGACGTGTGCCGCGTTGGCACCTTTAATCGACTCTAACCACCAAATCGAGGCTTACCGAGCTTTCTAACCCATTTATCACGTATCTGGACGCTACACACGAGCAGTAGGATGTCGGTTACTAACAGTAGTTAAATACAGATGTCCCAGACCCAAAGACGCATTCATGGCTGTTTCTGGGGAGGAAGGAAATTCAGCAACGCCGAAGTGGAGCTTGCTTTTTACCGTCTAGCTCGATGTGGGAACTCTCTTTACTACTCTTTCCAAGCATCTGTTCAAAGGTGCAGAAAACACTCTCAGCGCATAGTGCATTTAAATATTTTCTGTCATATGTCGGCTGACCCCTCACTTCTGGGGCACATGTAGGCCTGCATCCGCTTTCACCCATTCTTTAATGCTGTATTAGTGACAGATACCGGGTGCTTGCAACTGGACACCTGCGTGGAAGCTATGCGAGCCATTGAGAGAGGGTGTGTAAGCTGATTGTGTTCCGTCGTTTGTCTGGAGTAGTTCCCGACAGATAGCAGAGCTTTTGTGTGCTCACCAGCCACTTTAGGCAAATGAGTAAGTAGATAATGGCGAGTCGCCATGGAAAGAAACAGTCGTCTATTGCTTTTCCGGGCACCCGTAGAGGACCAACTAATTTGGAGATTACTGTGAAGTGCCCTTAATTATTTAAGTACATATGCGTCTCTTACCTTTCGACATTGCAATGAGCGGAACCCACGTGGGTGAGCAGCAAAGATACTTCATCCACCTGTATCGGTGTGTATGAATTCACAATGTTAGCAGGTAACTCCATTTGAGAGTACCGGTAGGGAGGATTGGAGTTAAGTTTTCGATTGTAAAAACCGCTGACTCGTAATAATAAGGTCATGGGTTTCAGCCCCACATGTGAAACAGAGGGACTATGCGTTACTGTCTATTATAAAAATAGTGCAACTACCGTACAGTGCTTTTCCAGTTGTGCAACATCTAACTACTCGTTTGGCTGTGACGAGTCATTGAAAACAAATGTGCTTGGAAAATACTTGGAAATGATCGAGAACTCATGATTTTACATAGGTTTGCAAACAGGTTGGTATAGTTTGTGGGCAACGTTTCGCTTTTGATGCAGCAGCTTCGTCAGGCCGAGTGAACCAGTGGAGGATTGGTATAACACTTATAGCGAACTGAGATGATAATCGCGACGAATGGGATGTAGGCAGGAGGTCAATCGCGTTACAGGTCAACCCATCCCTCCAAATAGTGCATGGAATGCCATAAGTGCTATACCAATCCTCCACTGTTTCACTCGGCCTAACGAAGCTTTTGTGCCAAAAGCGAAACGTTACCCACAGACTATACCAACCGGTTGTTTATAAAGTTTTGTGAAAGCACATATGCTTGCTTTTTCTATGGTGCGAAGTAACGCACCTCTGTCGAATCGTACCGATATAGCCGTTGTGCATAACTACAAGACAAAGTTGCAGTTGATGTCAACTAGGCCTGCTAATACCCGGAAACACCAGCTTATTTTTGGCGGTCCATCCGGTATCCACCTAATGCATTTTCCATGCGTGCATTCGGCTACCGTCGCCTAGGAACTGTTCATCCCTCAGGATAGTTGTCTGGATTAGCATCGTATTTCAACTCACCAGGATGCTGAGGAATGGCTTTTTAGTCGAAAGTTTGTGTGTCCGAACTCCACCCTTCCCTACAATATATCCTACAACAATCTCCGGAGACATTCAAGCATTTTGTTCGTCGCAATCAGCCGACAATCCTTCCATTCATAAGTAATACCAATTCGCCCGTACGGATTCCACAAAATGCTATGTCGACTCATAGCTGCCGTAACCGGGAAGTCCTGACGCCGGAAGGCCGACCGCTGTCATCTGCATGACAGGTGCCTGCATGGCAGTGGAGGATGCGTCGGGCTATATCGCATTTAGCTAACAATTCACGATAGTTAGATACCGTCCTCCATGGCGCAGTTGCATAAGCTGCGGGCTAGTTGGCAAGAGCCACTAGCAGTCATGGGTTCGATCCTCCGCAGAGGACCGAAGGATGCGCACCACTGATGAGCCCCAATAGGGCGAAACGGCCGTCTGGTGCTTTTCCGGAGAGCTGGTCGACATATCTGAATTGTCGGCTGATTGCGACGAACAAAATACTCACCAAAATCCTTCCATTCATAAGTAACATTCAAGCATGTTTCTGCTGTGTTCTCTTCGTTCATTTGCACTGTAAACCGTGCTCGGCTTCTGGTTCATTTGCTATTAAAACCTCAGCAACTAGCTAACATGCATATGGAAGAGTGAAAACTGCAACATCAACTCCTGCAATTGTGAGGTGTTGCGATTGATAGTATCGAGTGCGAGGCGAAAAAGATTACGAGAACATTGGGAGAAACATGGAGCAGGCATATTCGGTTGCCGCTACACGGAACAATCACCAATAGCACTGAATAACAATTGTTTACAAAAGTCATGTCACTGAAATAACCTTAGTCAATTCTTATCTATCCTCATGTGCTTAATACGAATATAATAATAAAAATGCAAAATTGCCTCTCGTTTTTTAAGTGACAATAATTGTTCACATCGCCAACTACAGGGCAATGCTTATCATATACTAAGGTTAAGATCTGCAAAATGCATGATCCAACAGATCACTGCTTAGTTTTCTTTACATGTCTCTTGTACAGCGGTTCGAAAGCATCTCCACCGCGTGTCCAGCAATAGTCAGTCATCATGATGGTGGGCCATAATCCCTGCTATCCTTGTTTCAGCGTTTAGGAATCTTGATGAAACGGTTTGCAATGTTCAGCACTAAACATACCACAGTCATCAGGGGGAGAAATCCAGACGGGAATGAAGAAAGTGGATCTTTACAGACATCGTTACCAAATTTCTGTTGCTGCCTCGGCAAGCTTTCTACTAGGTTTGTGCATTAACATTCGCGAGGAAGTTGGTAGACACTCGGGGAAAAGCATTCCATACTTGTTTCACATCACGCTGCATCAAGCTGTCAAAGTGGCCATCTTTGAATAGCTGTCGAATCTGAGGACCCCCAAAGACTCCCCGTTTAATCTTTACTTCGATGAATTGGGGAAATTTTCCATGAAGATTTCGGAACGCTGGTGAAGTCCAGTCTATGTCTTTCACGAAGTTCTTCATCAAACCTTGTGTGATATGTACGGTGGGTACCAGGATTTTGTAGACTTCGGCCAGAGCTAATTGACGGATATACTTTGTTGAAAATGTTAAATTTTGTCTCCCTGTCCATTCCTTCCACAAGTAGTGCAAGCCCCTTGCTCGGCTATTCAACAATCACAAGAAACAACAGTATTTTATGTATTCTAGCCGCAGCCCCATCAAAGTGGCAACTAGCTTCAAATCATCACCAACCTTCCAACTGTACTTGTTATACTGAATGGAATTCAAGAATTGCTTTCAGTTAACGTACGTCTCACGTGGACAACGAGCGCTACTGGAACAGATAGAACATGTTTTCCATTATGCAGCAGTGCCGGTTTAAGTTTAAGTTTAAAAGTATCTACAAATAGTTTCCATTTTTGAGGGTCATGAGTTATTTCTAAGACATTCATGAGGCTTTCAAAATGACACATCAGAATAAAGGAGCTGTATGAATAAATTTAAGGATTCGGTGCCTTTCTTATCATCGATTCATATTTGAATATGAGAGTCATCACATGGCTCTACGGTCACAGAATGCAGTGAAGACTCGGATTTCCTGAGTCCCTCGTTCGGCTTTATGTTACCGACCCTAAACGGAATCACTTCGTCGCTTTTAACTCTTGGGCTTTCATGTGCAAGTTGTCCGGATGGTTCTTTAAGCAATTTCGAGCGAATTAATCTGTTCCGCTGAATCTCACACATTAACCAGTATGCTTCGATGCAACTGTCAATAATATTATCCCGGCCGAACCAGTGAAATACGTCCAAAATCTGTCGAGTTTCTTGCTTGATCGTACGACTACTGAAATCTTATCATTGGGTCCGAAGTTCTACCTCCCTACTAGAAAGAATAACAAACTGGCAATACAGGTACAGCTCGAGAAACTCTACACACAGACTTCGCAACTTGTCCCATCTTCGGTAGTGCATATAGAAGAGTGGAAGTCCCTATTAGTGCACGCTTGTTATCAATATCGGCGTGCACGGGTATCGCACAACACCCCAGTGAAACATGAGCACATGCAAGCGCTGCAGCGACTACTTAGCAACGATCAAATTCCGCTTACCCGTCCAGAAAAAGGCGCCGGCATTCTTGTCCTAAACAGAGCAGACTACCTCAACAAGATGAGTGAAATATTGACAGATAATATGAAATTCTTTAGCATGATTGATGGGCGAAACAAAACAATGCAGATAGAAAATCAACTGTGCGTCTGTCTCAATAAGCTTAAGAATGTTGCTTATATCAGCGAATCGGTCTGTGAAAATCTACGCCCCGTGGATACGGTTATTCCAAGGCTTTACGGGCTTCGCAACACCCACTAGCCTAACTGTCCTCCTCTCC